TTTTTCACCCCACAGCCCTGCGGCTCTTCTCACAAGTCAGCATCCCAGTATGAAAGTATTTAGTATGTAAAGGTGCTCTCCTGCTAAGCTCCACGCAGGATCAAGTATCAACACCATGGGTCATTTACAAATTTGTAATACCATGCATTTAAACAGAGAATTGATCAGGATACTTGTGAGCTATGCAAAACCATCCTGTTTAAGTTTTCTTTTTAAATCTTGAAACAAAAGGAACACACACACAAACGTTTCAAATACTATCAAAGAAATGTGAATTCCTCTACTTACTTATCAGTAAATCAGTTTTAATTTTCCAGTATTTGCCAGCCAATACTGCATGCAAAATCTTCTTTACAGATACTTTTCTTGTGTTCAATGTAGACACTAGCCTACATAAAATCCTTTTCCTTAGCTCACAGACTTTGGGATGTAACAGAACCTTCTAGTTAACAGAGATATCTTCTCATCTTATTAGTAGGTTACAGAGTTATCGAAGCAGCAGTCTTACTGTTTGGCAACCTCTAAAAGAACACGGCCCGCAGGAATTTGATTCTGTTTAACAATAAACTGGAACATAAAATATCATGGGTGTCCATGTTGGTATGCTCACAGCCCTAGAAACAAGTTAAAACCCCAGCAGATTCTTATTAGTTTTCACTTCCACAAACAACCTCACAGTATGTTTCGCAGAATTCAGATTTCAAATAATGGAGCGGATAAGAGTTCATCAGCTGTTCTACACGTCATTTAAAATGTGCTCTGAAGAAATTAAAAAATAAAAAAACCCCCGACAGTTAGACAGAACCCCTAATAAATGACTTCAGGAAAGGTGAAAATTAACTATATAAGGTTCTTTGTGGTGCACCTAGTTAGAGATAGACCTTTAGCTTTGGGAAGAAGTACAGTACCACGCTACAGCTCCAAACAACTGACTTTACACCTTAAGACTCTGGAGAACACTCAGCTAGAAGTTAGAAAATCAGTTTTGGTAAGTGGCAAGAAGGATTTAGTGGTTTTGTTAAAGGTCTTGGATGGTTAGGTTTAAGATTTTAAAAACTCTTTATTCATTTCGCAGCAAAGCAATAACTGAAGCTCTCAATGAGAAACTAGCTCTTAAGTGGATTAGACTTTAAATATTAAACTCTCAGTAATGATTAGACAAGTAATAACTTGATTCAGCTAACAATTTTGACAAAATAGCACAGGTCAGAGCTTTAACGGGTAACCACAACATACAAGAAGACAAAGCTATGCTCTGCTGACTGGAATTTACCACTGCCTTCTCTACACTCTGCCATCTACCCGACGATGGAAGAGGAAGAGAGGAAATGAGTCACAGGCTTGAAAGGCCCCATCGTTGACTGGATTACAAACCACTCAATGCCATATCTTTCAGGGTACCAGAAAGTGGTCCACAGACCACTCTGCAAAACAGAGTTATCAAAAACTTACTCATGTGTTCATTTCATTGAATGTTTTCCTTTTCCAATTCCATCTCAGTAAGCCAGAGGCTTTAGACTGTTTACTGCAGAATTCAGAAAGAGATTGAGAGCAGTAACTTTTGCCTACAAGAGAACCTAACCTACTCACTAATTCAGTGGCCTTAAAACGTAGCTGATGTGCGGTTTGTGGGACGGTGTATAAAGGAGGCCTTGAGGTACCACAGAGCAGGGAGGGAAAGACTATTTAGCTTCTGAAGTTATGTGAAAGAATGGCAAGATACCTGGGTGGTCCTGGCAACCATTTAAGTGAGAGTCTTAAGTTCCCCTATGCCTCAGGTGTTATTAAGTGGCAATGAATATGATGACAATATGATTGTCAACCCAGACTCCACAATAAACAAGCATTTTTCTAGGCTGTCTTACAAACTCCACCAGAAAGGGGCTTCGATTACAACTCAGAGGATTGGGAGCCAGCAGCACTGCAGACTAACTGCTACTACACGAACAATGTTGCGTTAAGTCGGAAGTCCTATCAAGATGACTTAGAAAAGAACAACTTACATTTGAATGGAGGACTCAATAATTTTCCTAAGATTTAGGAGGTAAGAGCAACTGCCAAAAAGCATGGACGCTGAAGAGGTGTTTGACACCTTGATAGGCACAAGAGCTGTGGTATTTGTTCTTATAAAATTGTCAAGTGACAGGGCACACCAATAATTAGTATGGACCTCCTCATTTTTCTGCTAGCGCTGACGTGGGGTAGAAGGAAAAAAACCTAGAAAATGGAAAGACAGTACAAGTAGTAAACCATTTTTAGGCAAGACTGACTTTTTGGTTTAAGTTGGCCTGTCACTGAAAGAACTTGGTTTTATAGCATTAAAATACCCTTTCCCCTCCCCGCAAACTTTAGACATCTTATTTTATGGGACTGCTAATAAAAAGTAACAGTTTCAAAAAGTAAAATTTCTGCAGTCCTGACAGAGCTGTCTGAGGCCATCATCTCATGAGAATGTAAAGGAGTAACTCTGATTCTGTAGAGAGGAAAAGACACAGAAAATCTTTTCTAAGACACAAAATCCCCATACAGACTGGCTACATGTATACTCTTAACATCTAGGACCATGTTTGTGTACACATTTGTACACTTCTTAACACTTCTTAGTTCTTAAGTCCAGACGCGGCAACTCTACAAGCTTTCTTCAATCAACTTTGGAGTTTTTTAACACCCTCTTCAGAACAAACGGTCAAGAAGTGACCACAGGTCAGACTGAACTTCAAAGGTACAAAAAAAAAAATAAATTATTTAAGGTATAGATATCTCCCTTTCTAAAGATGATACCGCTAAGCAGTCAGCCCATGGACTCAGGAGGCCACTGGAGTAGAAGTGACAGTGAATCAGACGTTCTTCCCCAACATTTTCTTCCTGTATGGAGATCTTCAAAGGACTTTGCATTTCCTTCCAACCAAGCAGCAGTCTAATATTTTAAAATAATAGTTACTTCATACCTACTGGTAGTATTTGGCCCAATTTCTAACAAAAGATACCTCCTAGACTTGTTTCCAAACCTCCTATGAGTCTGTTCTAATATTTGAACGTACTGTTTTCTTTTCCACTAAGTGACAGAAATCTGAAGGGGTTCTTTGGGTCTAAAGGGTCTCTTCTGCCAGATTGCTGGAGGAATACTTGGGGAAGAATAGAGAAGCAAGAAATGAGTAAAGAAGAAGCTGAACCACAGGACAAAGCAGCAGCAGAATTCCAACAATCCCCACGCCATTATAGAAAAGAATCAACTTCCCTTGGGACACTGCAATCTAACTCTGAAAAGAAAATCGTTCTCCTCCTTGACTTTGCAGAGGAGACTCAAAACAAAGAATGCTAATTTGCTTACTCCTATTCTTACTGAGAGAAATGTTTGACTTTGCAGATTGGAATTCCAAAGGTGTCCATACTCTAATGGCTTCAGTGGCTATTTCATGAATTAGAAGGCATGTCAAAAGAGCCAATGAATCCCCACCACCTTGTTAGAGAGAACAATAGAAGGACTTCTCCAATCCAAATGATCTATAATCTATTTAAGTCTGTCTGCAACACCTTGAGGAAATTCTAAAGCCCTCAGAAAGGCACTTGGGGGTAGATGATGCCACTTAAGTTTTCGCTAGTGAGAATCCTCTCTTCTCACAACAATCCAGCCAATTTACCTTCATATATACCTCCAGTCTGAAAAACCTTGACATTAGATTTTCTGTGATTTGAGGATAACTTGTACTGAAGGGAGGACAAGCGTGACAGTTTACCTTTTAAGGCATCCAGTCATTTATTTGCAGTTATAGGTTAACCACATAATTTACTTGGACAGCCAGAAGGCATTAACAACAGAAAAAAAAACCTTTTGGATTTTCATTGCTGGGCACAGAACAAGTAACAACAGAAAGGGGGATAACTAAAGGAACATGAAGTCCTACAAAATTTAAGAACAGGCAGATTCTAGATGTGGAAGTTGGAGATCTTCTGGCGCTTTAAAAATGGGAACCACAAGAATCAACGGCAGCTGCAAGAATCCCTTAGGGCCTCTTGCTGGAAAAAAATAATCCTTAAACTTTGCATAATCTTCAACAAATGTCCACTTCGATCTTTTCGTCTCGTGTGAAATCTTCTCTTCACCTGTTTATATTTGGCCAAAATGGAAGCTAATTCAGCAGGTTTTGTAGAGGGGGCTTCTCAACAGCTAGAGAGATTAAAGGGCTAGCCTTGACACAAACTCAATCTATAAATGAGAAGATATACCCTGCAAATAAAACACATTTTTTGACAAGCCAGAAGAGACTTTCTCAAGCAGGACGATTTGGGACCTAATTGCTCTTTAAGCAAAAGGATCATAGTTTGGTAACATGCTGCTAGCACAGGTAATGCAGTGCTCAATGTTCTCCTTCTCCATTGCTGCAAATCGTGGCTGAAAGAAAGCTGGAGAAGAGGGGTGAAATGAAAGCTGTCGTGAGCAATCCAGCAACTAAAGTTACCTGTTAAATTTGTACTAGTGGAATCATGATCCAGAAAATGTTAACATCAGCTGAAGCAGTAATTCAGCAATAAGGTATGATCAATGTTTTTTAATTATCTGAAGCAGGTGGAGAAGGCAAGCAAATTACGTGAGAATTCTTTAATATTTTAAAATTATATTTTTAACATAAATTTACACATTTTCACTTGTGAACTCACCAGACAATTGGATGAAGAACAGTATTAAGATACAACCACTTTCATCTGTCATTAATATCATCAATGTCAGAAATTAATTTCATTCCTGAGCTGATAAAGTTTAATAAAAATCACCAAGACTACTTTAGAGAATTCAATGAAATTCTAAATTAAAAGCATTACTCAACAGCCTGTTCTGTAATACATGAGTTTAACAGATATTTCAAGTCTCTCTCAGTTACATTAAAGAAAGTATGCAGTCAACTACAATCACAGTTAAAACAAAAAAGTGCCTGTGATCTAAGGATCATTATTCCAGACCTGTTGTGAATCAGTGAAAAGGAGAGTAGCAAAGGACATACCTTGGAACTGCTCCCAAAACAATCAAGTTGGCTTTTTGTTTGTTGTTTCCAATTACAGCATTTTTCATATCTCTGTAAATCCAGAAAGAAAAACAAACCCTGGTAAATTATGCTGAGGTACTGAGGGCTTTATCTATAGAATTTACTATTTCCATGTAGGCTTATCAAGTAGTCTTCCACATGTCCATGCTGCACCTACAGGACTGAGTAGCACTCCAGGGCAGTTTCCACAGCCCACAGATAATTGCCCAGAGCTCTGGGATTCCATTACGTCCCAGCTTATGCAAGTAAGCAAAAACTCAAACTCTCTCACATGCACACCAGACATGAAGAAGTCTCATTATTGAGGGAAACTAGACATACTGATTCTTTGTGCCCATATATTCACTAGATTTCTAAAATAAAAAAAAAAAAAAAAACACACTATTTGTTGGGAAATCAAACATTGGTAATTTAAAGTATTAACTGAATATTCTACTGGGTGCGGGAAAACACAAGCTAGGAGGGAAAAAAGGGGGAAAAAAAAAAAAGGGAAAGAAAAAAGGAACCAGGAACTATCACCAGTCTCCAGAGACCAGACTTTCACTCTCCTCTCCACCACATGCTTCCTTTTGTGAATTTCAGCAGGCCTAAACAGCTGTACATCAAAATCCCAGGAATAATGTGGAAACAAAAGCATTTTCCTGTCTGAAAGTTACTGCAAGATTAAATACATTAAAGGCATTCATACTATGGTAAAGGAACAAGGGAAGCATTTTGGAAAGAGGACACTGGTTGCACACACTAAGAAGTCCTTTGCAAATGTGTGGTTTGCAACCTTCTTGTTCAGAAGATTGCGACTAAATCCTAAAAACCATCACCACCTTTTAAAGTTTTTTTTCTTCTTCATATGAACATATTGAACCTATATGAACATCCAGAGAATCTGAAGGAAAGCTAGCAACTTGTGACCAGTTTCAGAAAATCAAGATGACACATTTCTAGGAAACTTCCTAGTTGTAGGGATCTTCATAAGAGCAGAGAACAAAACCAGTCCAAATTCAGATAATTCTTTATCAGAAAAAAACAAAACTAGATTGGTTATAATGTTAATAGTTGCAAATCTGATAAATTAATCACCGGCTAACTATGCCCATAATTAATTCAAATAATTCGGGAATTTTAGTGGTTGCATATTTTCTTGCTACTACATCACTCTTTCACCTGCTATCTGCAAATTTTAAGAGATTTAGAGTAGCCCTGTTCTTTATGATCCCCCCTCACCTTCATGAACAGTCCTTACGTACCCACTGAACATGCAAACTCCACTGCAACAAGCAGTTGCCCCAAGTGTTAAATTCACTTAGAGGTATAAAAAACTTCTTAGCCGAGGCAGGCAATATCTGGACTGGCATAAACAGAACCTTTATAAACTTCAGTTAGTAAAAGGTAATTGCACCTTCTTCGTGAAGTGTTCTTCCATGTGATTCACTCTCCCATTGCATAGTTATCCAGCCACAGAAGAGTGCTCTGGGAATTTTAAGCAAATGGAGGCTAACTTCTACAGTTTGGCTAGTGATCTTGGAGCTCTAACAAGGGAGCAGCATTAAAAGCAGCTGAACTGCGCCTGTGTTGAGATACACAGAACTGGAGTCGGGAAACCACTTCACTCGTCAAGTGAGCCATTACTTAGCAGGAATCTGCCTACCCAGCACACAGTTTTACACTGTTGAGTATCAGCAGAAAATGTTGGAGCTTTCCGTTGTATCTCCCGTAAGTTTGGTAACTTTACACCACAAGACAGGAGGTAGAGGAGAAAGAACAAGATCAGAAGACAGGCTAAGCTGGAAGCCCAAGAAAACTTAAGGAAAGGACTTGAAGATTTCACTAAACTCAGAAACAGTCCTTCAGTGGTTTCTATGCTGAATGCTCGATATCAAAGTATCCCAGCAATTTCTAAAGTTTTTGAAAATACAAGAGTCAGTCCAAAACAGTGGCAGAAGCAATGATCAGGGGTCTCAAAGGAAACTGTACCAACAGATGCGCCAGGCTCAGGTACTAAACTGCTCAGGCCACTCTAGGACTTCTAAAAAGGCTACCTCTCCCTGTCGTCCTTAGGCACCAGCTCTCAAAGTCACCAGAAAGGCTCCATTGTATCACATATCTACGAAGGCATCTTGAGAAGCTAAAGAGAAGGTACCTGCCAAGCACTCTGAAGAATTAATAAACAGATTCTGGTGACGTTTTAATGCTCTGCTCAGGTGATTTTACACATTATTTTGTCTTTAAAAACAAAGCAAAACAAAAAGAATATCACACCAACAACAAACTTTTGTGACTCCTGCACCAACTCCACAATCGAATGGCTTGCTAACCTTATAACTATTTCATATGTAATAAGTACTGCTTATTCGAATTTGATTTAGAGACCCTTTCAGAAGTGTCAAGAACATGGCCAAGTTCCATAACACTCAAATTAGAGGTTTAGCGAGGTCACAGTCCTGGTCTGTAAATGATTTAGATGAGTTTCTCCATCCTGGTTTGTAATGTTCCCCAGAAAGGTGATGGCAGAAAGACAAGAAATATCACAAGCTTGAGAGTTCGGGCAAACATTCGACCACTTCAACTTGCAAGCAAGTAAAATACCTTCAAGTTGATAGGGTGACCAATAACTGTCAGAGACAGGACTCAGCAAAGATCACCATGTCTGTCTGCATTATGCCTTGGCACTCCCCAGTTCTGGGCCATCCCTTATCTCTTCAAATTTGCCACTTAGAGACATGAGCCTATTCGATACACAAGAAGCACGTGGATATGGAAACCAAGAATAGCCTTAAAATGCCATAATCCGATGCTGAATAATAGTAGACTTTTTGTTTCATTTACTACAAAAATAATTCTGCAATTCCATATTACATTTTATGGACATTTTCCTGATCAGGAAGCTGATCTCCTTAAGGAGTAAAGAAGTACCACGTGCTGTTCTAGCCTACCAGGTCCTTGGTGAATCATGAACCTTGGAAAAACTGAGGGCAACTCCCTTATTTGAAAACATCGTCTCCAACAAGTTTGAGCTTGACCGATTTCGGATCCAAGAGGATATGAGATTCATCCAAGGGGAAAAAGAAGTAAAGATTGCTATCTTCTACAAGAGGTAACATGGAAAACTTAGAAATTTGTAGTCCAAAACTGGACATTCACCTTATTTCCTAAAGTCATGCACGCTGCTTCAGCTTCCTACTGTGAAAAGGAGCCCGTGAAAAGAGGAAGAAGGAAACAGCAGCAAAAACACAATCACAAAGAGATGAGAACTTCAAAGAACAACATGTCTATGGTGATTCTAGGCCTAACCTGTGAGAAGACCATGACCAGAAGAGAAAGATATACAAACTTTCCAATAATGCGCTCCAAGCTCTCAGGTAGGTTATCAACCCTACTGCCAGGCGACAGCACAGCGTGAGCAGCTTCAGAAGAAAAACGCAGATCTCAGATGTGTACCTAGTACATTCCAGCACTACTTAGTTTCTCAGCCTCAGAAAGGAAGCTTTCTACAGAGCCACAAGACAAACCATGAACCTTTCATCTGACAGAGTTCTTAAGATGCATTTGAGGTTGGTTGGGTTTGGGGTTTGTTTTGTTTGTTTGTTTTTTTAATTCCTGCGCATTAAATCTGAATTTAGTTTGAATCTAAACTATAAAAGTCATATAACAAAATAACCTGAATTGCAGTAATTTTAAGACCCTATAGCTGACATTTATGCCTACATTTACTAAAATGCAATAAAGTAATCTATGTGAAAAAACTGTCAAGCAGGAAAATATAGGCTGCCAACAGGCAAAGAGATCCTAGCTAAGCGCTTAGAAATATTGCTTCCTGAAGTGCTAAACCAGCTTTATCCATCTCCTATTGCTTCTTAAAGAAATAAGAATATGGTTTCATCAATTCAATCCTGTGACCACTCAGTTTTAAGTTATGAAACTAACTACAGACGGGAAAAGCAGAAAGACTTATTTTCTTCCCTAGAAAAGGAGAAAAAAAATTATCAAGTGAAGTTTATCAGCTCTAACAATCTTTTGGAACACAGCAATCCAGAAGCAATCAGTTCAACTAATTAGCTATAAATAAAATGTAATGCATGCTAGTTTTGTAAGTGCATTAGCGCAGTAAGAGTGTTTAAAGTAAAATATTTCAGGAGTACATCAAACTCATTAAAAAAAATATATCTCATTTCCATCCAAATGCAGCTTGGCAAGAGTTAAAAGATAAACTAATCTGCCAATTAGTTTATACGAAGTTATGAAGTTATATGAAGTTTATGAAGTTAACGTTTTTATTCTGATATGTGTAATTGTTTAAAGGCACCAGATACAGCCCAATTCAGATAAGCAAGAAGCAATATTAAATATAACAATTTGCAAGTAAAATACGCCCTTTAAGTTTTCATGATGCCTAGCCAACAAAAAATAATATTATGAAATGTCTTAAGTCCTAAGGAAATTAGCATTCTAGTCTGCCAATGTAAATTATTATTGTAGAAGCAACTTAAGGTGCTGAACTTTGTCCTAAGGAGAAATTAATGAAGTTCAATATCTTCTTGAAGTTGATTTTATGTTTGGGACTCCTCCCACAAAACCACCAGAAGTGTCTGGTAGTTAGCGTGCAGGTCTCTGAACTGGTGTGAGCTACATTCCCAGCTGAGAAAGAACAGACCTCGCAAGTATTCCTAGCAAGTCCCAGTACCTGCACCTCTTCTGCAAAAAGAGATCACGAGAAAGCAACAAGAATAGACAGACTCCTCTGTGAGAATTTGGTTTTACCTACATTTTTAAATACATAATTCAAGCATAACCTAAGAAATTTTTAAATTCTGATAGAAAACCCTGGAGCTTTCCTACCTCATGTTCTAGCAAAGCAACACAAAAGATCTTGGAACAAGCTAGACTGACTTGATGAGGAAGCAGCAACAGGAACTACAGGGAAGAGGAGGAAATAACAGCTTGCATGGTATTGTCTCATCTTACGTCTTTTGAAAACACAGTAGGTAGCCATATTTAAGAGGTTCCTAGACAGAGGAGGATATCAAACATGAGAC